GAGACCGTGGTGGAGTCCCGTGCTGCGGGCTTCCCCTCCGCCCTTCCCACTCGTTTTCGGGCCTCTTGCACCCAGATCCCCTGAAATCTTGGCCCTTTGTTTCCCCTTTGGAACCTTGTCTCCACTCAACTTCTCCGGGCCCCTGAGCCTGAAACCCTGGCTACCCAGCCTGTCATCCCCTAGCCTTCCTCTTGGGCCTCCAGACTCTACTTTCCTGAGCTCCGGTGTGCCATGTGCTGCAGTGGATCTGGGCGACTAGGGATGGTGGGTGAGCACGAGACAGGCCCAAATCTCATTCTTGTCCTTTAGGCCAGGTTTTGACCCGGAATCAAGCACCTTAGCCTTTCTTTCCCATTCTTATAGAAACGTTTCAGGATCTTGCTGATACATAGAAGAGGGCAGATTAGCCAACAGAATTCTGCCACATAGTTTCGAAAGAGCCTGCCACTAATTCAGTAAACGGAGTTTCTGAAAAGCTTCCTTGGTATTGACTAGGTGGCTCGGTGGTTGGCCTGGAAGGCCTCTGCCGCTTTGCCATACGTGTACATGCACAGTCTTAAGAATGGTGTAGCCTGGTGACTTTGCTGCTGTGTCTGGGTGAGCCAGGAGCTCTCTCTTTTAAAAATGCCTTTTTTTACAGGTTTAGAACAAGTCTGGATTTTGTTGCACAATTCTGAGTTGAGGTCCTCTTACTTTGGAACTGTGGCACAGATTTAGACCAGTGCATGCACGATGAGGTTGTGTGGACTGTTAGATGCCACTGGCTTGAAGTGGTAGAGGTCCCCTTATATTACTGCACTCAGGTTACACTTGGTGTGCAGTGCTCTGGATCTCGAAACTCATCTCGTTGTCCATCCACCCACTGCCATTCTTTCCACCGTGTCCCACTTGTTAAAATCATTTAAAAACAAATCCAAATACTATTTCAGCGCTAAGTCATCAGCGTTTATTTCTGTCGGGACCCACTTTAAAACCGTGATGCCGTAAGGTAATTCCAACTCTTTAAAACCTAACTAGTGTTTCTGTGGTTCCAAATACCCTGTCAGTTTAAGCACTCTGAGTTTGCCAGTGTGGATCTCACAGACTGCCTCCCCAAGCGTCTTTAAGTTGGTCTGCCTTCCAAAATTATTGTAGGATCTGGAGATTTATTAAATGCTCGTGAGTCTTTTTGATGGGCGTGGGGTTTTGTTTGTTTTTGTGAAAAGTTCCCAGTCACCTGAAACACCTTTTACATCTGGAAGCTCAAGTCTTTTAAGATGCTGAGATGTTTCCCTGGTGTCTTAAAACGATGGCCAGCTTTTATTCTTGTATTATTATAGACTTCATTTTTTTTCTCTCCATGTTTCCAGCCACTGCAATGATTATCCTTTTGATGCTGCTGTCCCTTTCTCACAGGTCTGAAAAGCACTTCAAGTGACCCACCTGTCCCATTCCATGTCTCCCTCGATCGTGGTTACAGATAAATTTTGCTTTCTGTATGATATGCTGTGTTAACATAAATCTTCCCACCCCAGATCTGGCTTAATTGTTTTCCAAGATTGCTCTCTTGGAAAACTGAATTTAGAAGTCACAATCTGTACAATAGAGTGCATAGCCGAACTCTTTTCTTTCTTTTTTTTTTTTTTTAAGATTTTATTTTTTTAAGTGTGTGTGTGTACATGCACATGCAGAAGCCAGAGACATTGGGTCCCCAGAACTGTACTTACAAGCAATTAGTTGTGAGTCTCCACCTGGGTGCTGGGACCTGAACTGGGTCTTCTGCAAGAGCAGCCAATGCTCTTGAGCACTGGCTCCTAGGAGGACTCATAACTATCAGTGTGGCTGCTGTCCCTGTGCGCATACTCATCAGTACACACAATGGGATACTAGAGATAGTCATCCAAGTAGAATTGGGTAGAATTACAAGCATGTGTTGCTTATTTTCAAATAAAGTTCTCCAATGAGAATGGTGATACAAATTATGGCTCATTTCCAAAGCCAGCCTCCCAGGTGCATGTAAAAGGCACCCACAAGTTTGTTTAATAATATTTATTTTTATTTTGTGTGTATGAGTGCTTTTGCCTGAATGTATGGATGTATATGCAATATGTGCATGCCTAGTGTCCTCAGAGGCTAGAAAAGGCTACCAGATCCCTTGGAACTAGAGTTATGGATGGTTGTGAGCAGCCAATGTGGGGTACTGGGAACCAAACCTGGGTTCCCTGCAAGAGCAGCCAGTGCTCTTAACTGCTTCAGCTCCAGAAGCCTAGAAGTCTTATAAGTTACTCCAGAAGATACTGTGTTCTCAATTCAAATTAAAGATAAATATCAGAATACATTCTTATGCATTATAGTCCCTGCTGTGGGGCTCCAAGGGACTTTTTCATCATAGACTGAATCAGTTTGGTCCTCCTATGTTACTGCTGCCAAATGGATTTGACCTGTCATATGCATGCAGGAAATGGTACTGTGCTATCCATTTGCAAGAGTGGGCTAAGCTTCCGGTATTGACTTTTGTATTTGGCATAGAAGAGGCCCCAGGGACTAAGGTGGCTAAGAGGCCTCCTAAAGCATTTAGCACATTACTAATGGGGCCAAGGACAGTCTCAGTTCATTAGGGGCTGGTTAGGGGCTGGCTGCCATATAACAGCATAATCTCCCGAACACTGTTAAAGAGTCAAACCTGAGTCTACATATTCTCCCAAAGATCATCAATAAAAATTTAAATGTGCAAACAATAATGTTTTTAGTACAGCAAATGTGAAAAGAGGACATTGTAACCAGCTTTTAACATCTACCTTTAGGTTTCTGTTATTGCATTTATAACTGCTACAAAAATGCCACCATATCACCAACATGAAGAAGAGAAATTCTTCCTCAATGCCAAAGGCCAGAAGGAAATATTACCCAGCATCTGGGACTCACCTACCAAACAGCTGTCTGTTGTTGTGCCTTCCTACAATGAAGAGAAACGGTGTAAGTTCTATTTGAGTTCATTTCCTAATGAGTCCTTTGGGAAGAAAAATCCTGCAGTGTTTGCAGTTGCTGAGAGGAGTGCATGGTTGGCAGCTGTGATTGGGAAGAGGGGAAACTTCTAGAAGGATTGAAGTTTTCTAGAAAAGTCCTATGATGAGAACAAGGGACAATCTGAGAGAGAATGGCCTGAGTGACATCTCAGAGGGTTTTGGTAGATGACAGGCACATCTCCCTATGTAAGTGGAGTATGCTGGGCTAGCTAACTCATTTTCAAAAGCAATCTGTAAAATATTTTTTCCCTTTAGTGCCTGTGATGATGGATGAAGCTCTGAACTACCTAGAAAAGAGACAGGTATCACACTTCTCTTTCAATGTCACATCTCTAGGTAAAGCTAAAGCAGGTTACCAGTTGTTGATCCCAGCTAGATGTGTGGTGGAGGCAGGCCAGCGAGGCAGGCCAGGTGTGCAGCATGCTACTCCAGAGGCAGACCACAAAGCAGGCTTTTGTCTGTCATACCCCCTACCTTCTAACTCTCTTCCTTGGTGATCTAGTATAGACTATGTGCCAGTGAATGTGTGCAGGCTCACTCCTGTGACATCTTTAAAAGGAGGTGTATGTGTGTGTGTATATTCATGTATAGAGATCCACTGGAGTCTTTATAACCTAGTCTGGAGAACTTTTGTTTCTCAAGTGAATTCACATGGATTAAGCGAAACATTACAGTATTAAAAATTTTAAGTTATAAACTCATCGCATAAAAACAAAATACTATAATCCAGCCCTCAGCAGAGAGTCACCAATATTGGGTTATTCACATTTAAATATACATGCAAGGCTGTATGGCTGAGGAATGGTGCCCAGGTCCAAACTCCCTGTGACGTCTGACCTCACGGACCTCTTTCTCAGACATGGCCCCTTCCCAGCTTGCCTTAGTGTCACAGATGCATGCCTCCTCCACTCATGTGGTTGGAACAGGTGTCTACCCATCATCTGTCCTGTTCCTTTTTTAATTTCATGTGGTTTGCGTATTATTGTCTGCAAGTGTCCCTAGAAACATTAGAACACCCGTTGTTTAAATTATAACTTTTTAGGGCTGGGAAGATGTCTTAGCATGTAAAGGCACTTGCTGTGCAAGCCTGAAGACCTTTGTTCAATTCCTGAGAACCCACAGTGGAAGGAGAGAACCAACTCCTGCAAGTTGTCCTCTAATCTCCATGTATGTGGGTGCCCACATGTGTGAGTGTGCACACCCAGTGCACATGTACACTTTTAAATTAAATTTGAAAGAAAAGAATTTTTAAAATTACAGTTATACAGGCTAGCATGGTGGCTCACCAGGTGAAGAGCCCTGCTGCCAAGCCTGACCATCTGAGTTTGAACCCTGTAATTTACATAGTAGGAGAGAGCCGACCCCCAGAAGTTGTCCTCTGACCTCCGTATGTGCACCAAGATCATCCCTACACACACATACACACGCTTAAATGTTGAAGAAAATTTGATATACTATTATAGCTTTATTAATCCCTATCATAATTTTGCCAAATTAAGATTATTTTTGCTTCTTGCAGAAACAGGACTCTAAGTTCACTTACGAGGTGATAGTAGTTGACGATGGCAGTCAAGACCAGACTTCAAAGGCAAGTGTGTGTGCTTTTAGAATGCTGCTCCATAGGGAACTTGGAGTCACTTAGGACATGTGGCTTAAGTCCACTTGCTGGAGGAACCCAAGCTGCTCATTGCTTCCTGTCCCATCCTCACTCTGTCACTGCTAATAAAACACCCTGAGCAAAGAAGCAACTTCAGGGAGCAGGGGCTCACACTGCAGGGAAGTCACAAAAGTGGGAGCTTGAGTCAGATGGTCAGGTCACATCCACAGCAGGGGCAGAGAGAGACAAGTACACCCACACTGCCTGCCTGCTTGCTAGTTCTCTTCAGTCATAGTGTTCAGGCCTGGAGAATGGTGCCACCCACAGTGGGCCGTGTCTTCCAGTGTCACTTAACACTCAAGAGAATGCCCCATGGAAATGCCAAAGGCCCAGCTGTCATAAGAAGGATGAGCTGCAGTGGTGGTGTCTGTGAAAAACCCAGTGAAAAATCCCCATCTGTGTGACTTGTGGACTCTGAGTTAATGCTCACCTTTCGTTTGTATTGATTTTGTATATCCTGACTGACAGATGCTAGCTGTATATGTTTATGGGGCACAATGTGGGATTTCAGTACATGGGTGTAGCATGTTCTGATCACATCGGAATAACTCACATCCCTGACATCACTCTCCAAGCTAACTTTATTCTGTCCTTTATATCATCAACAGGTGGCTTTCAAATACTCCCAGAAATACGGAAGTGACAAAGTACGCGTGATAACGCTGGTGCAGAACCGAGGGAAAGGTGGTGCCGTTAGGATGGTAATAACTCACATTTTGTTTCAAATATGAGGGGTTTTGATAGCATCTTTTTCAGCTAATAATAACACATATCAAATATCAGTGTTTGAAGTTATCACCACTTTATATATTTGATATGATAAAGTATAAGGTTCATACTCTGCTTGTAATACACTAGATGACATGTTTGTGTAGAGTGCCATGTCCTCTTTGCTGAGGCTAGAGTGATTGCTCACACAAGGACAGAAATGGCCCAGCAATTAAGAGCACTGACTGTTCTTGCAGAGGAGTCCCGAGTACTCGCATGGTGGCTTACAACCATCTGTAACTCCAATTCCAGGGAATCCAGTATACTTGTCTGGCCTCTGTCTGTACTTTATATATGTGGTACATACATATACATGCAGGCAAAGCACTCATACATGTAAAATAAAATTAAATCTTTTGAAAGCTAATAGCATATGTTGTAGAAAATAATGTTTCACTAGACATTTTCATACATTGAGATGATGTAAACTATTCACAGTCCCCCCCCACACACACACACACTGTCCCCTCTTGTCCTCCTCATACTGTTCCCTGGGTGTCTCTAGACTTAACCCAGAGTAAACGTGAGAAAAGTTGTTATCCCTCATCCAGTGCAGTGTTGAATGAGGGTTAATTTATTTGCACTGTGGTGTGACAAGACAGAAAAGGAGAGGATGCAGGGCAGATACTACCAGTCAGACCTACCAGGTGGGTCTGAGGGAGATGGAGGCATGCTGAGGAGGGGCCAGCCCTAGGAAAGGATCTGTGGTAAGAGCCCTGTGCACATGCACATGTGTAGACCGAAGTTTCTTTCCCGAGCAGTCCTTCAGCCCTTTAGTCCCAAATAAACACACAGAGGCGTGTATTAATTATAAACTGTTTGGCTGATGGGTCAGGCTTCTTATTGGCTAGCTCTCTCTTAATTATTAACCCATTTCTATTCATCTATATGTCTCTACGAGGTCTTGGCTTACTGGAGAATGCCCAGTGTCCTGTTTTCCCAGTGGCTACATGACGTCTCCCTGGCAACTGCTTCTCTGTTGTTCCTCCTCCCCGAATTCTCCTAATCTGGTAGCCCCTGCCTTTACTTCTCGTCTAGTTACATCCTGTCTGTCCATTGGCCAAAACAGCTATATTCATCCAGCAATAAGAGAAACACATTCACAGCATACAGAAGTGACTCCCCCATCGTACAGGAGTCACTTCTGCCGCCAGCGTTGAGTGTTGACAGAGCTGTCATGTTACTTGGTCACACCACAGAAATTAATTACCTTGTAAAATAATGCAAATATTTTACTGTATTTTACAGTTTGTACTAATCAAATTGATTTTACCTAGTGTCAGTTGCCCCAAGGACAGTAAAAAGAGTTGAACCTGAAGTTAGTGACACTTTGCTCTATTCAGCAACCAATTTAAAATCCTTAAGGCAGCATAATAAAGAAAAGTCACATTTCACTGTGTACTTCTCAAGAATGTGTGGCCTCAGTCTGGGAACCCTCCTGCCTCCTCCTCCTGAGTGGGGATTACTATGCACAGAGCCACACCCAGGGCATGTGTGTTATTTCTGTTTGGGGCCAGGTTCTTTATGTGTTGCTCAAGTTGCCTCAAGTCACATGAGCACTGACTCACTAAAATGGGCACATAGGTGGTGTGATGTGTGCCCTGCTTTCTCTGTTAGTGTTGAGGACTTCCTTTCCCCCTGCAAGTCCATTGTATTCAGACTTGATGGTTTCCAGGGTATTAGGAGGAGTGTGAAACTTTTTGCAACAATGAAATGGACAGTTGATACAAGTGGGGATTTCCTATCTGCATAGCCATGAACTTTGGCCCCTTCTGCCGTATTATACCTAATATTCCATTCTTAGGTGTCTTAAAACAGGATGAATTGAAATGCTATTGAGCTTGAACTTAGTTCTAATCAACTTTCTTTCTCCTGGAATTTTTGAATTCAGGGTGTATTCAGTTCTCGAGGAGAGAAGATCCTCATGGCTGATGCTGATGGAGCCACAAAGTTTCCAGATGTTGAAAAACTAGAAAAGGGACTGAGTGCTCTCCAGCCATGGCCTGTGAGTATAAGAACTCATTGAGTGACAGTCAGGGGCACAGGGCTCAAAAGCAAAGACAGAATTTACCTACAGTTGAACTTCCTTTTTCTTTAGAGACAGGTTCTCATTATGTAGACCAGGCTGGCCTTGAACCCACAGCGATCCATCTGCCTCTGTCTCCCAAGTGCTGATATTAATGGTATGTGCCACCATACCCACCAGAGTCCTCTAAATAAGTATAACTAGCTGTCTCCAGACTGTGCTGTCTGAACCCCTCAATAGACTTTACAAATATTAGTGTTATTTTTTCAAAGTGTTTATAAAGATGAGGCATTTGCATTAATTATGGGTGCATTTATGTGATACTTTAATATTAAAAAGAGTGATGCTGTTGCTTTTTCCTCAGGATCAAATGGCCATTGCTTGTGGGTCTCGAGCCCATTTGGAGAAAGAATCAATTGCTCAGGTGAGGCTTTCCCAAGCTGCCATGGACAGTAGCTTGTTAACCTTTAACCCCCTTTTACATACACATACACATCTGACAAGAAGTGGATTCCTGTGTTTTCTCTCAAAAAAACGAGCTTCCTATCAATTTCATTGGAGTTTATGGAAGTTTAGCATAAGTGTACACTGGAGGAGTGAGGCTTCACTTTAGGATGAAAAGTTCTCAGGGTTGTTTCTAAGATACATAGGGTGTCATTGGACCAAGACAGGCTTTAACAAACAAAAATTTGTTTTAAAATTCTCTCTCTCTCTCTCTCTCTCTCTCTCTCTCTCTCTCTCCCTCTCTCTCTCTCTCTTTCTCTTTCTCTCTCACTCTGTGTTTGTGTGTGTGTGTGTGTGTGTGTGCATTTACAAAATACTCTAAAGTATGAAAAAAAATACAAACTCTGAAATATTCCTAGTCCCAAGTGTTTATGATAAGTTTTCTTCAGAGTATAAATATAGTTTTGTTTGTTCAGCGTTTAAATATTTTGTGTTTCATGTCTATATAGAAATCATTTAACTGAAAATTGTCAGGCTCATGACAGTTCCTTTTATAAAGATACAAAGACTGCAGGTGGAGGCTGCTCTTTTGTAGATCAAACTAAAAAAGCCAGAGCAATTCAAAGGCTAGAACATTTCAGTGAGGAGGTGTGTGTGTGTGTGTGTGTGTGTGTGTGTGTGTGTGTAATCAAAGTCAGGGTTTTTCCACTTTAAAATGAGATATTGAGTGTCAAATCCAATAGTCATCAAGTTCACAGTGGTTCTTCACTGAGAATAGAGAAAAGCCAGTGTCCTTGTGGCCCATTACCTGGGGAGGGATTTATAGTGTGTGATTGTAGGCCAATCCCATCCCTCTGAGTCAGACTCTAGGATAAGACCAGGACCTGCCTCTCAGCAGGTCACAGGTTACTTTTGTGCACACTAGTTTTAGAATTATTAAAATAAAATTGAATGCCTCCCCTCCATGATTCTGAAACAAGGTAGGAGGAGAGTTTAAACTCTGTCGAGACATTGACAGCAAAGTTGCAAACCCTCACAAGAGTAGAAGCCAAACTGTCCTTTGCTGAAGTCAAGGTAACAAACTTCACTGGGAAGCAGAGAGACAGCTCTTGAAGCTGGAAGGGGACTCAGACAAGAGTTTCCCTAGACACTCATTTTTCAGAAATAAACCTTTCTTATAAGATTTTCTTAATTTTTATTTTATGTATATGAACGTTCTGCCTGCATGTGTGTCTATGTACTATATGCATGACTGCTTTTACAAAAGAGGGCACTAGATCCCTGGAGTTGGAGTTATAGATGTTTGTGTACCACAGTGTGGCTGCTGGGAATAGAACCCAAGACTACTGCAAAAGCAACCAGTGCTCTTAACCACTGAGCCATCTCTCCAACTCTAAACGATTTCAATATCTACTTAGTATTCTAAGTCCCATGCATTTCTCATTTGTGTTTGAAAAGGTTAATTTGTCAAGCATGGAGAATATCACTATCCTAGACATTTAATATAGAAAGCTGAGAGATTGGCAAGTGTGACTTGATTGACATCTTTATACATGGGAGAAAGGAAGGAAAAAGTATGTGTCCAGGAGGGTTAGCACATTGCTGAGGAAGTGGGGTCCTGAGTTCAACAATGGGAAATGTAACTATATCCCAGCAGGAAACTGATCCCAGCCAGGAGACTGATAATACAGACTGTCGTGAGGGTGTGTGTGAAGTATTGTATTATATGACATGAGGATGATGCTGTGAACATAGCATAATTATCTGCAAAAAGAACAAAATTTGCTTTGCAAATGGAAATAGGTTGACATTAATTTAAGGAATTCTGAGTAAATCTTTAAACTATGAAGCATGAGCACTGGCTGTTCTTGTAGAAGATCTGGAATCAGTTCCCATCCCTAACATGGTGGTTCACAACCATCTGCAGCTCCTGTTCCAGGGAATCTAGCACATTTTTCTGGAACTGTATGTTTATGGTACAGAGACATATATGCAGACAGAGCACTCATATACATAAAATTAAAGTAAATCTTTTTTTTTTTAATATGAAGCATTATGTGGCAGGAGCTAATCTATTTAGTGAAAGAAAGTAGAGAATGAGAAAGGAGGAATCAGGAGGAGAGAGAAGCCCTGCACACTGCTGGGCTGTGTGTTTTGGGATGACCCTTTGTCTCCTGCAGTACTACACGCTGCTGCGCTGTGTTTCTTGGGATGACCCTTTGTTTTCCACAGTACTGAGACTCAGAGCCAGGGCCTTGTGTGCTCTAGGCCAGCACTGTACCACTAAGCTGCATCCTCAGCCCTTTGGTTTTATTTTTAAGGCTGTAAATTCTCTTTATTTAGAACTTCCATTAGTCGAAGCTGGGCACAGTGGGACTCCCAGCACTCTGAAGGCAGAGACATGATTAGGACTCTCCCAGGTCTACATATTTATAATATGTCTTGTTCTCTATCCATTTCTTCACCTTTCAACCTAGTTGATTCAGGGCTTCTGGCTCATTATGCAGAGGATGACCTGATCTACTCACTGGCAAGTAGGAGTTGCCTGCCACTCAGTGGGAATGCTGTTCAGATCATTAGAGAGCTACACCTACCTTATGGAAAGCTGTTTCCAGGAGGCACGAGGCATCTAGTTGAGGAGTGACAGCACAGCCTTCTATTTTTCCTCTACACTCACTACACATAACATAAGCCATGGGGACCAGTCTGAGGACAGTGGAAAAATTATCAAAGAATTAAGATGTCAAATAGCAGGTTGAATGGCTTACAGAATAGTATCTGAATGCATCTTTTCTGTGTTTTACTATGTCCTCAATATCATTCCATCTGTTGCTACTCTCCCAGAAGACAGGCAAGGCGGGGATAGAATGCTTTATTTAGTTTCTTTGTGGGTGCCTGTGGAGTTTATCACTTAAAAGCATTCAGGAGTAGAATACTTTGGCATTTATTTGATGCCTTTAGTTTTTTTTTTTTTTTTTTTTTAAAGATTTTATTTATTTATTATGTATACAGTCTTCTGCCTGCATGCCAGCAGAGGGCACCAGATCTCATTCAAGGTGGTTGTGAGTCACGGTGTGGTTGCCGGGAATTGAACTCAGGACCTCTGGAAGAACAGTCAGTGCTCTTAATCGCTGAGCCATCTCTCCAGCCCCTGATGCCTTTAGTTTTTAACAAAATGAAATTATCAGTAAGTTTTATATTTCTCTTGACTTCCTGCACTTTATAGACCTTGGGGATACTATTATTAATTCTAAGACAGAATCTTTCCTAATATTTTAAATATCCATTTCACAAGTTTACAGACTCCATTTCTTTGTTAGCTTCACCTACTGAAGTCTGTCTCACAATATATTTTAGGTGTATTCTGTTTTTTTTCCAGACAGGGTTTCTCTCTATAGTTTTGAAGCCTGTCCTGGAACTCGCTTTGTAGACCAGGCTGGCCTGGAGCTCACACTCTGCCTCCCGAGTGCTGGGATTAAAGGTGTGCAATGCCACCGCCTGGCTGCTATCTTCTAATTTTTAAGTTAAGTTTCAAAAATTAAAGCAAGATTTTCTTTGTGGTTTATCTAGATTTTGCTTTTTTTTTCTCCTCTATTTTTAATTTTGCATGTACAAGTGTTTTGCCTGCGTGTACATGCATCATGAAGTATCTTTAGAGGTCAGAAGAGAGCATAAGATGCCCCGGAACTGGAGTTACAGATGGTTGCAATCACCACGTGGGTGCTGGGAACTGAATCCAGGTTTTCTTCAAGAGCAGCCAGTGCTCTTAATTGCTGAGACATCTCTCTGGCCCCTATTATGCTTACGTATGTGTTAGAAATCAGATAAATTAGGTTGGGTGGTGGTAGCGCATGCCTTTAATCCCAGCACTCAGGAGGCAGAGGCAGGCCAATCTCTTGTGTATTTGAGGCCAGCTTGGTCTATGGAGAGAGTTCCAGGACAGCCAGAGCCACAAAGAGAAACCCTATCTTGAAAAACATATTAAGCTTCTCTGAGTACCTCGCCTTCTGCTTTTTAATAAACAGCTGCATTCTGAAATACAACAAAGCTCTGTTACAACCAAGCAAAGCAGCCTCAAATGTTTTCCCCTGCTCACGAAAATCACGTTGAAAACTGCTCAAGCAGAAGTTTGCATGTGTGTTTTCCACCTTTAATTCTCATTTTCCTATCTTTTGGTTTCTGTTTGTCCCTTCCTTTAGCATAATTGCTCTTTGAGGTGTTTAGTCTTTCTGTATTTATTGAAAATATTTTATGTGGAAGATACTGAGAAGACAGATGTAAGCTTCCCAAAGTGTCTTAAGATGAGATTTCCCTACCCCCACATGCTTAGAAAGCTAGGAGCCATCTGGATCAGAACATGACTGATGACAGAGGAAGTGACAGAGAAGGACTTCATATTCTTATAGTCGGGGCTCTGATATCCCTTCCCTCCCAGTCACAAGTGGAGCTGTAGTTGAGAGTGAAGCTCTCAGCCTTCTTTATAAAAACTGTTACTGACTTCTGTTGCTCTCTGGCCAAGCACATGGCTTACAGCTTTGACATAATTCTACTTGACTCTCCTACTAACTCTGTAAGGTACCCATTCCCGTTGTAATTTACTCAAAGCCAGCTTGCTGTCAGCCTGGGAACCAGGACTCAGATCTGTTCAGAGGACACCTTTTCTATTTGTTGTCACACTGATGATAACTTAAAAACAAAAACAGACAGGTAAATGCAGAACTGGCCCCTCAGGTCCTGAACTTCTGCTGTCAAGACTCCAGCCCCAGAAAACAGTCTCCCATGATGTTCTGCTCTTGAAGCGGCATCCTGCTCGCTATGCCTCCAACCCCTGTTGTCCAAACTGGAGGTGTGCCTAGTCAGCAGCATGCTTAAATGCCCACATGTGGGTAGCTGTTTTCAATGTCTCCCAGAATGGAAAAATAATTTCTCTTTTGTCTTTGTTTTAGCGCTCTTACTTCCGTACTCTTCTTATGTATGGGTTCCATTTCCTGGTGTGGTTCCTTTGTGTCAAAGGAATCAGGGACACACAGTGCGGGTTCAAATTACTAACCCGAGAAGCAGCAGCCCGGACCTTCTCATCTCTGCACATTGAACGATGGTAGGTTTCTGACTGGAATGTCTCATGCCTGCCTTCCTATCAGGCATCCAGATAATAGGATACAGCCCTGTTGTCTCACGACGAATATCCAAATGGAGCCAGATAGACACGTATGTTATATGTTCACCTAAGCAGAGGCATTGTCAGCTGTGTGGCTAGAATACACTCTGTCTCCTTAAGCCTCCCTCCTCCCCTCATGTTCCTTTCCAGTTGGTGGATCTCTCTCCTCAGCCTGTTTCTCTGATTGCAGAGCTCTCTCTCCTGCCTCTTCAGACCTAGTCTTTTCCATTTCTTTTTTGTGTGTTCATCCTTTCCTTATCTTCTGTCAGACCCTGTCGGTTGACCCTGCCTGTGCCCTCAGCTCCAGCCCTGTGGTTGCTACCTTCATCTTCCCCCACCTTGTCCCTCCTACCTCACATGCTTGTCATTCCTGCCTCCTGAACTAGCCCTGGCATTGATTCGGCCCTGCATGTGTCCAGCCATGGCTGCAGCCTGTTGGTTTCTCTCCGTCTCCACAACCATGCAGTCCCAGGGATCTTGGTAATCACATTCACACTTGTGCTTCAAATCGTGCAATGGTTTCCCATGACCTTTAGAGGTAATTGCGGTGCTGCCTGCTGTCTCTCTTCTTCCCCAGCCATGCACTGTTACAGGCATCACACCTGTCGTTCTCTTTCCTTGGGGTCATTACTTAAGTCTGATTGCTTTCCTCCAAGCACAGGCTCTTGAGGGGCTGGGAATGCCACTTAGTTGGAAAAGGGCTTATGTGCATGAGACCCTGGGGAGGAAGAAAGCTCTAGAAAAGAAGAAATTCCTCCTGACTTGATTTACTAATCTATTCTACTACAAAGTGCTTGGCACATTGTCAGTGCCTGGAAAATACTGCCAAAAGGATCCTTGCTGAGTGTTAGTCACAAGTTCTGTGTAACTTGTTCCCGATGGGTAGCTGCATAATTATCTAATATATGCCCATGTTTGATGTCTCTGCTGCTTTTGTGGATTTGTTTCTGACGATCAGTCATCTTCCCTAGAAATAGGTTTCAGGTAAACTCCCAAAAATTCTCTTATAGTGTCAAAATTTAAATTATCATATGTGTGTGTTTAAAGTCTTTAATTTCCCAGATTAAAATAGGTGAAGTGTACGGTAGGTGTCTATAATACAGGTGTCTGGTTTTGTTCTGTGGTTATCATCCTGTGCTAATCATTCTCAGTTCCCAAAGGCTTACCCAGTACTCCCAACCCCTGCCCTTCCTGTGGCTCTTTGCTTTCATGATGAAAATAGTGTATCTGAAGATCTAGTTCTGTGTGAAAGGAAGGAGCCAAGCTAGACATGGCTGTAAACGTAAGTTGGGACAGAGTGACCCCTGTGGGTCTTGCCTGTCACAACCAGAGCCTTCCAGACTAGGTAGGCTTCAATAGCTGCCAAGACCCACTCTATCCAAGACAGCCCAGGGAAGGAACAGGGACCCTGGCTGAGAGGAGAAAGTGGAGAAGCAGCTGCAAGTGACCGGAGTGGCCCTTTCAGGAGCCTGGGCAGCATTTCTCATTTAAACAGTGCATATCTTGTTCCCCTTGAAGCTTCCCATACACTCAGTGCTCATTTATTTGACCCTCTGGGGATCTGGCCTTCAGTTTTACATAGAAGCTTCCCATCTGCCCTGGTAGACATCTGATTGATGCCCCCACTTGTCTGTTTTAAAATAAACAATATATTTTCTCTTTCAGGGCATTTGATGTAGAACTGCTGTACATAGCACAATTTCTTAAAATTCCAATAGCAGAAGTTGCTGTCAACTGGACTGAAATTGAGGGTGAGTGTACTGTTTATTTATAGCTGGTCCTTAGCTGGGCAGTGCAGTTTTCTGAGGGAATCTTCTGGCTCCCTTTCATCCCTCTCCTTCACCAGGCCTCCCCAGCTCGTCACAGAGCCCCCTGTGTTCCATCGGATTTCCTCCTGATGGTTTTCCAGTCTCTTCTTTGAGTCTTTGGTGGACTTCCTCCTGGCCCAAGCTACCAGTAGACAAGGTCCTGGCGCTTGAGTGTTACTAGCTGAGTACTTACAAACCACTGTGCAGAGCTAAGGAGGGACCATGAGTGCTGTAGCCATCCAGACCACATGCCCTTGCTTTTGAGGTGTGGTCTCATTGCACTGCTTAGGCTTGTCTTGAATTCACAGACTCAAACAGTTCTGTCTCCAGAGGGTTAGCTGTATGTGCACCTAGATCCCCAAATGTAAAGGCCTCTGAAATCTTCAACCCTGTGAAATCTTTATAAACTTGTATCAGGCTCCTTTCCAGTCGTGCTGTGTGCCCTGTGAGCTCCCACTTTCTCCTGCTTTTGCCTTGGGACAAACTCAAACAACTCACTGTGTGGGGCAGTTGATGTGACCAGCTGGAGACCTTTGCAGCCTCCTCCCCTGTGCCCTTGGCCTCCAGCCCCTCTCTTGGAGTCCTGATGCAGTAGCATGTGTGGTGCCTGAGTTCAGGTGTCTCTGGCTCCTACAAATTTCAGCGTGTTTATAGAAACTTGTCAAATTCACACCACTATTCTAGAATCAAAGAGGACAACCTTGGGATGGTTAAAATCATTTTCAGGTATATGCTGTTGGCTCATTTGCATCTCAGAGATAATTGTGGAGTTAGAGTTCTTCCTAGTTTGTTCCCAATTAACAATAGAGAATGTGCCTCCAGAATGCTTTAGTGTCCATGTATCCAGAAGAAAATTGTTTGTACTCAGGGTGGTAAGGATGGTCTGCTTTGAGGGTGGAGTTTAACCAGAAGTGATGAGTACTGAGCCTTCCTCCCGGTAGATGTTCACTGACTGGTAGGTACCACACCAGTGACAGTGACCTTGGGAACCATATATCCAGTTAGACTGCTGTTCCCTTGCAACCAAAGACAGAGCTGTGGACAGCTGCTATCTGGACACAGGTATTATTGTCATTGTTGAGGCTGGTAGCTGCTGGGTGAGGTTGAGGCAAGGATGGGTCACAAGTTAAGAGCCAAGTTGGACTACTAGTGAGTCCAAGGCTTGCCTCAGCTGAGCTGTCGGGAAGGAGAAGAGAGAGAGTGCTCACCTGTAGGCCCTCTGTGTGCGTGTGTATAGTGTTCTGTGGAATTAGTACTTTTCCTGAGCTGCCACCACTTCCTAGTACTCTCTCCACGCACAAACCCTTCTCCCCTTGGCATCTGAAACGTTCACATATGAGAGTCACCCAAGTTTCCTTGAACTGATAGACTTAGCTTTGAGAGGATAGTCACTTCAGCTTTATACTTAAAAAAACAAACAAAAAAAAAGAGTTAAATAAAATTAAGATGTTAGGTGTTCACAAAGGTAACTGACCTCCCCCCACCCCTTGTGGTGTGTGTGTGTGTGTGTGTGTGTGTGTGTGTGTGTGTGTGTGTACATGCCCAGGATTCACACATGTAGAAAACTGCTCTCTACCTCCCAGCCCCAGCCACTTTTAGGATACAACTTTAAACTGCTGTATATTTCTTCCAATGTAATTTAATTTATTTTTAATTGCAGGTTCTAAGTTAGTTCCATTTTGGAGCTGGCTACAAATGGGCAAAGACCTCCTTTTTATCCGACTTCGGTATCTGATGGGTGCCTGGAGGATTGAGCCAACAAGGAAAGTGAGTTAGTTTGCTGTCAGGGCTGGACTGCATTTTTACATGCAAGTGTCATGCAATTTCACCTGAAATCAGGATTTTTCAATAAAGCTGCGATGGACCCATTGTCACTATCTGCCTTTGTATGCTCTTAAGAATTAACTGCCATGAAGAAACCATGAGATGTCTTTTGGGACAAATAAATTTTTAAGTATTTGTGTCATAAGTTAGATTTTGTTTTATTTAGTTGTCTTTATTTTGGTTGGTGTCACTACCGTTCTGAGATGGATGGACACTTTGAGACTCAAGACAAGAAATTTCTTAAAGGAGCCTGCACAGTTTTTACTGTCGTGATTAGGTCACAACCCTGTAACAATCATTTAAAGATGAAGTTGGCTGTAAGTTTAAATACAGGATTATCTGTGTCACAGTAATACTAGGAATGCTAAGAAATAGTAGCAATGGTGTGAATGAGTCTCCATGCTGAAGGTATCCACCTCCTTGTTGTCCGTTCATCTCCCTAACGTTGCCTGTATATGCTGTGCCGTCTCACCCCTACAACCTTCCCCTCTGGAATTTGTGTAATGTGGCAATTCTGTTTACTTTCCATCATTTATTTTTCATTGCTGGCTTCAAACATTCTTGGGCAATCCAGGCAATCCTAAGCTGTATCTCAACCCCAGGAAATCCTTATCAAAAATGTTTTTAAATAATGATAAATATATTTCCTTAATCCCAGAATTTGAGATACTGAAGAGGCCAATACAATTTATTTAAAAAAATATTAAATCATTTCTTATGTCATAGAAACTAAGAATAATAAAAGCTGTGATAGCTTCATTTGAAATGCATACTGAGCACACGTGTATTGGTGGCTTGGTCCCCAGCATTTGACTGTTTGAAGAATGGAACATTAGGAAGTAGCACTTAGAAAAGTTAGGGCACTGGGGGTGTACCCATAAAGGGGATAATGAGAGCTGTGAGTGTGTGTGTGTGTGTGTGTGTATGTGTGTGTGTGTGTGTATGTGTGTCTATATGAACATTTATAAAAACAAAATCACCCAAGCTAAGAGTATAGAATATAATCTGAGGTTCTATGAGAGAAGGGCAATTTGATACACAGAACCTACTAACATAATGGGCACACCTGAGATTGTCCATGTGTGCCCACCCTCCCCTCCAAAGATGAAAAACAGGAAGTCTTGTTCTGTAAGTAGTTTTCTCTGGCATTGCCCTGGAAGAGATGTCTGATCAAAGTCACATTGGGTTCACAGCCCAATGGCACCCTCAGCCTTCTCGCTAGTCATTGGTGCTGCGGCTCTGTGTATATGACGTCGAGGGTTTGAGAATTCTCATCCAGAGGTCATCCAGACAACTCTCCAGTGGGGTCTAGGGATGAAAGTAGGGTATCACTTCTGTGCAGCACGGGATTTTTCCCCACTGAGCCATCTTTCCAAAAAATTCTAGATGTTATCTTTTGCAAGCATACCCCAGTTCTCACAGGACAGCAGCAGGCTAAGGCTGTCACTCCTTGATCCCTGGAGAAGAGATGTGAATATACCCGCCCCTCATATTGCAGATGAGTAAGTGAGGACACATATGCCTCCCTGCCTGATTTGGGAACATTTTCTGGTGTCACATTTTGTCCATACACTACAGTTCCATGTGAACTCAGGAAGGACCATGAGAGACCTGTGCCTGGGCTCTGGACTCATGCTGACTGATGGGAGTTTGAGTTGTACATCAGCCACTTTGTATCCCAGCATCTTGAGCTGTAAAAGAGAAATGATAATCTCATCTTGTGAGATGTGAGGGTGGAAGGGAGCTGCTTATGCAACACTCACGGAGTTCTGTGTCAGGGAACATTCACAGTAAACCCTCTTGTGAAATCAGAACCATCTGCCCATTCTTCATCTTGGTCCCTCCCTGTTTATCAGCAGTGACCTCCCATGCAACATTCTTTTTCTTATATATGCAACCAGTTTAACAGTTGATGTTTCTATGCTCAAAACCTCAGTAGGTTCTACACATAGTAGGTATCCTGGGGTGTCTTTATGACCTGTATCACAATGTCTGGAAGGGGGACATTTTGTCACCAGGTCAGCCCCTATGGGGCAGTACCCAAATAGGGTGGAGACAGTAGTCCAGGATGTAGGCATTCATGCTCACTTCCCAAGGTGGCTGGAATTTCCTTCTCTGTCACAGGCCCCCCCCCCCCCATGTCCTTACCCTACCGTGACACCTGTGCTCGTGTGCTGGTCTTGAAGGATATGAACTTCTATCAGATGGAGTGCTCTGTGTCCACACAGTCTAGGTACCCAGTGCTCAGGGAAGTAAGGAGTGAGTTATGGAGTGAGTCAGTCAGCAGTGTTCCTCCATGGCCTCTGCTTCGGTTCCTGCTTCCAGGTTCCTCCCCCGTACTGCCTTTCATGATGGACTGTATTGGGTCTATTTTATCTTAACAGAGGGAATTACGTAGAACAGTTGGCTTTTTGAAACTTTGGGCAAATGGGATGGGATGTAGTTGTCAGATGTTCCATAGAGGGGTTGAGTATTCTAGGCCATTTATCTTCCTGCCAAGGCAGTGAAGCCAGCAAACACTGACTCCAGCTACATAGCTACAAACTGTTTTCCAGCATGGTGCTTTTCCACCACTGGACTGCACTGTCTCAGATCTTTCCTCCCTGACATCAATGCTCTTAGGATTTTCTTTGTCTCAGTGTATAAAAAGTGATGCAGAGAAGTGGGAAGGGTGGGCAGGGTACATTCTAAAGCTGGACCAGATACAAGGTATGAGAGATGTACACTGGGCATCTGCAGATGATGCTGACTCTAAGTTCTGTCACTATGACAGAATACCCCTGACAACTGAAGCAGTGCAAAGGCTTTTTGGCTTGTTTCTAAGGGTTTGGCCCTGTGTGTTTAGGCCTGTGACCAGAGCATGTGACAAAGAGGACTGTTCACTTCATGACCATCTTGAAAAGGAGCCAGGGTACCTATATCCTCTTCAATTTTATGTTGCCAATGAGCTCCTTCCTCTAACTAGGCCATTCTACTGTCCAACACTGTCACATGCTGGAGGCCAGGCCTTTCTTACATAGATTTGGGGAATGCTTCAGAACCCAGCTATAGCACTGTGTATGTGACAGATGTGAGCAGAGGGACTGACAGCTGAGAAAGTTCACAGTCTGCCCAGTAGGTGTACTCTCCCAGAGATGGGATATTTTAGCTGTGGTTTTCAGATCCCTAACCAAAACTGTAAGGGAATTGCCATCGAATCATAACCGCTGTCATTCTGATCTCATGCGCATTTCCATAACATAATGCTTTGGTGGAAGAGAATTATGTTTCTATTAAATGCTCCAAAAATGACAGAGGAAGAGGGGTCAGAATTCTCATAACTAGGGCAGTTAAAAGAATCAGCCAGCATGAGCTTTCTTCCCCAGGGTCGGTGTTTGCTCTCTCTTGAACCCCACCAGGTTTTACTGTTTTATCTCCCTAACCTTTTTGGGAGTAACGTCCAGAAAAGGCAGAGTACACACACTTAGAGGCCTGCCCCACACCTACCCTCCAGAGAATTCTGTGGATTCACAGCCTCCGTGGCAGAAGCATGAACCAGCCTATCAAAGGTTTCTCACGGCTTTGTGCTCCCAGAGAAGGAGGAAACTGATTGGATCAGTTCTTTAATATCATTTCTGGGGAAGGGGTGGGTGGGTGTTGAGGCACAAGTTATCAATTCAGAGAACCTAATTAGTTTACTTGCCTCTAGGTGCACATGAAATTCTCTCATCCAGTCCATGACTTTCAGTGGTCCCCACACTGGACAGTATTTTTTCTGGGGTGTTTTTCTCTCCCAGGGCAATCTCACACCCAACACCTGGCCTGCAGCAGGGTATATGGACCAGCTGTAGAGAGATACTTCCAGTTTGAAGTTCAAGTATCATTTACACTTCTGCAATATATTTTAAGCAAAGCCTTCTTCAGCTACCCTTGGATGATGATGCAAAAGTGACATGTTCCAGAAAGTGGTGGTTTTAGGGTTAGGGGAAGAAGTCCAACCTAAGGGCTTTTGTTTACATTTCCAAGGTGCTTTGGCCTCTTGGGGGATGCTTACAGTGTGGAACTAACTGAGATGGCCAATGCCATTTTGAAAACCTCTGTCTTTTTGAAAACCTATAAGGTTTGGTGGGGCAATCAAAGGCTTTCAACACACAGGTGCCACTTCCCAAGTGACATTTTAAAGGCAGGCGACCTAGGGGGCAGCCAGGCAGCTGGGCAGGAAGGTTCTTTGTGCCCATGATGTATATCTTGAGTATTAGACAGTATGTATTATACACTGCGTAAGAAATCACAGTCCACAACATTACAGCACTAGTTTGAAACTCCACTGCCACTCAGCCAGATTTTCTTGGGCTGGTGCCAGGCAAGTTATGCCTCGGATACA